AGAGAGAGAGAGAGAGAGAGAGAGAGAGAGAGAGAGAGAGAGAGAGAGAGAGAGATTATCATTTACACTCCGGATACCTCATTGATATGCTTTTTTTTTTTTTTTCATTTGTGCGAGCGTAACTGCACTGGCCTTAATTGTATATATGTATATGGACTCAATTGAAGGCGAGTAGGGTATAGGAAGTGGCAGCAGCCAGGCCAGAGAGAGCGAGCAATATAGGATAGGCAGTCTGACCATCGGACAGACTGAGTGATAGGCAGAAAGATCGCCGGAGACTAACTAGGTGTAATAGGAAGAGTAGAGGGACTCCCTCTTCTAAATACTAGGGCTCCCTCTTTTAAAATAAAAAAAAAAAGGAAAAGGGAAAAGAAAAAAAAGGGCTCCCTCTTTTAAATAATAGGGCTCCCTCCCACCCTATGTACAGTAATTGCCAGAGTCATTCGTCTCTGATTGGTAGAGGCTTGCTCAGTTTGCGCATCATTCTCTTCTTATCAGAAGGCAAATCACTGAATGATAGGAAGAAGAATAAACTACAAGGCAGCAGCCTGCTGTCGAACCGATAGGCAGAAAGATCAGCAGCAGCGGGCTCTTGGGATCCCGACAGTTCGGGAGGCAGGCTGCTGTCGGGGGGGGCAGAAGGCGGATTTTTAGCGGTACCGACCAACGACTCATGTCTAGTAGCTAAGACCTGATCGGGAATCCTATTTAGGAAATGTAGGTTTATATTATCATATATTGTATTGTACTATATATAGTGGGAGTTGTGTAAGTAAGAAGATAAAAAATGAATTGATATCTTTTTTTGTTTCTTTTTGTTTTTTTTTCGCTTTTGCGCTCTGATAACTTTGTGATAATATATATAGTGCTATATGTAGTAGACATGAGTCGGGCAAGGAATCCTATTTATTATTATTATTATATGTAGTAAGACATGAGTCGGGCAAGGAATCCTATTTATTATTATTATAATTATAATTATAATAATTATTATTATTGTTATTATTATTGTTATTATTATTATAGAATATAAATAATACTATTATATTACTTTACTATATGGGGAACCTACTCTGATCGGGGAAGAAAAGTGAGTCACAGTCTTTCCCCGAATACAACACACCCTCAAACATGATGCACAGCCATAACGCAGGGTGTGCTGTGTTCGGGGGAGGACGGGTAGTTGAGCAAATTGTGATGAGACTATAAAGCACCCTGTGGATTCACTAACGTAGTAAAATAAGGTATTTAGCTAACGAGTTTTTTGTTGGATTCACCTTTTTTTTAGCATCAGGAAAAATGTAACTTATTTAGTTAATGAGTTTATGTAATTATTAGTTAATTGGAAATCAAAATTACTCACTTTCTCATTTTGAAGTGGTGTGTGGGAAGGACTTAACCCATTCTCCTTTTCCCCGAATTTAATGGAATATGCACTCCGATCATGAAACGTATTGGGACTAGTGTTCCTTCCGGGTTCGATACAGTGCTGGTGGGGGTGCGTTGTGTTCGAGGGATGGCGGCGGGAGGGTAACTGTATTGGTTGTCGTCGTTAATTAATGGAGTAACCACCTAATAATGATTGTTGGAGTTGATCTTCTAACTGCATTCGTTGACGTCATCCATTAATGAATTAACCACCTAATGATTGGAAAATGGGCCGCGGGGCCAAGGGTGTCGTGTCTTTTGTCAAGGGTAATTAATTGAGAAAATAAATATGAGAAAACGTGAGAAGATGTGTGATAATCACGAGATGGATGGATGTCTGGGCCATGGCTTATTATGTGGATGGATATCGTCGTTTTCTGTGAACTGACACGTATCGTTGGCCGTCGGGGGGTTGTTGTTGTTTGTCTCTCTCTGTTGTGTTCTCTGCACCCAGTGTATGTAATGTGTATATATACATGACTATGTACATATAAAATCCTACGAAACGAAGATGAGGAGGAGCAAGGAAGCGGACGGAAAAAAAAGAAAAAAAGAGAAACCGGAAAGCTGAAGGTGGTGATGAGAGAGAGGAGGAGGAGCAGAGGCCGCCTCTGGAACAGCGGAAGCGCAGTGTCACGACTGGATGTCTTGCAGTCATCTCAACTCTAGCAATATATACATATACACGTACATATATACATACATATATATGTTGTGACAGTAGCAGCAGCAGCAGCAGCTATGGAGGAGCAACAGCGGTTTGGCATCGGGATTTGGAGTCTGAAGGAGCGCTTCAAGGAGCGATTACGGCAGCGGCTCCGTTTTTCGCCACGTCATCAGTTTCACTTGCTGATTCAGCATCAGGAGCAGCAGGCGCAAAGCCGGCAAAGCGCGCCAACGCGGCGAGCGTCGGCGAAGGCGGCGGTTGCCACGTCACTAGCAGCCGCGCGCGTGTTCAAAGGGAACGCGGTGTTGGCGCGCTTTGCGGCGGCAGTCGTCAGGGGCCATTGGTATTCGGGACCGAAGAAAAGCGGGGGGGAGCACTGGAGGGCCAGGGCAGCAATCCAGATGGCCAAGCCGCCGGCGTTCAAGGGTTTTGGGTCGGGGTCGGGGTCGAGATCGAGATTGGGATCGGCGGGATCGACGACTACCGAGGCTGGAGCGAAGGGGGCAACGGTGAGCAGCAGAGCGAATGTTGCTGTGGGCGCGCGGGAGGCCAGTGCTGTGCCACGTGTCAGCCATGTGGAGACTGGAGGAGGAGTTCCACCAAGCTCGACCACTGCTGCTGCTGGAACCACGTCAGCTGCTTCCTTGTTGAAGGATACTGAGAGTGATTTGATGGCGCAGCGTGCTGGTATGCACTCGTTCCTTGTCTTTCCCTTGTCTTTCCTTTTTTTCTTTCTTTGTTTTTTTTTTTTTTTTTTTTKTTTGTGTGTGTGTTTTGCGATAAACAGGGGCCTTATGGTCCTGTCTCCGTATCCATTCTGCGGAGCGTCAGTCCATCATTTCCTATTTCGTGTATTGCTTTCTCTCTCCTGTCGTGATTGGTCTTTAGGCAGATCCTTGTTTGTGTTGGGGGTGCTGATCAATACTTTTTGTTGTGTTTGCTTGCTGAAGTGGCTGGTTTCGTCTTTTTCCCTAGGCTACCAGAGTGGCCCGGGTCCACTTGCCCGGCCGGACAAAAAAAAAAATAAAAAAAAATAAAATAGAATTATTTTTTAATTTAAAATTTTATTTTTAATTTGGTAAAGAATTTCGATGTCACCCTGAGGCAAAAGTTGTTCAGTTTATTTTTCTGCATAACATAGTTTTTTTTCGGATTTTTTTGGAGTTCTTTTCTTTTTCTTTTCTTTTTGGCTGTGATCTTCCCTGGTCCTTGCACGGCCGGGCCGCCCGGGAAAATAAGGTGACCCGGGCGGCCCGGCTGGTAGCCTAGCTTTTTCCATATTGTTTTCTGGTTTTGGGGGGGGGGGTGTGGAGGGAGAGGGTCGGGTTTGGACCGGGGTTGTTGGGGGAACGGTAGAGGTCCCATCGAGGTGGCTTCTCTACCTGTCATGGAGAGGAACCATGTCGTCCATCGTGATTTCTTGTTTTTTGTTTTGCGTGTTTGATCTGCTTGCGGGGACTGAAAAGATCAGAGATGTCTTCACTGAGCAGAAGATCCAAAGGAGGGTTTGCTTGGCATCACCTGTGTTGCACCGACCTGTGTTTTACATCGTCGTCCTGGTTGATGCAACACAGGTGATGGGAATAAATACCACCTGTGCTACACCGGCGGCTATGGGAATAAAAGAAGAACCCAAGGCCCAGCAAGAATGAACCAAGCTGAAGAAGAAGAAGAAGAAGAAGAAGAAGAAGAAGAAGAAGAAGAAGAGTACACGAAGAAGAAGAAGAACATGAAGAAGAAGAAGAAGACGACGACGATGACGACGACGACGAAGAAGAAGAAGAAGAAGAAGAATAGTGAATAGTGAAAACAGTGGCCAACTGCCTTTCGTACACACTTCGAAAGCTCATCAATACATAGCCGTGCGTACTCATCTCAGCTCACGCGCACAATCCTCCACAAGCACACACCATCGAAGAAGAAGAAGAAGAAGAAGAAGAAGAAGAAGAAGAAGAAGAAGGCCAACAACCACACACCATCGACAATGGCAATAATAGGAATAGCAAGAGCAAATACGCCAGAAGCAAATGCAGCAAGAACGACGGCAATTACATAACATCAACTGCGAAGGAAAGGCATAAAAAGCTAGAGAGTAGAAATGGGTGAAAAATAGCAATGGGTGGACAAGGTAGGACGAAAGGGTTTGGTTGCAAGCACCCTGGCCTTTGAAATGATTAATCGTAAAGGTTGGGACTTTTTTCCTGGGGGGGCTGTGTAATTGTGTTAATTGCTGCTGATCAGCTGCCGCCACAATCACCTCCTCACCATGTTGGAGCAGGCAGGGAGGAGAGGAAGCTGGCGGATGTCGCACTTGTGGAGAATATGCTGACTTCTGAGCAGCCGTCACTTTGGATGAAAGCCGCGCAGGGATTTGCAGTGCCGGTCTTTGGTGCCTTGAGCAGGATCTTCATGCATGGGTTGAACCGAACAGAGGCAAGTCTCTCTCTCTCTCTCTCTCTCTCTCTCTCTCTCTCTCTCTCTCTCTCTCTCTCTCTCTCTNTCTCTCTCTCTCTCTCTCTCTCTCTCTCTCTCTCTCTCTCTTTCCCAAGGCATACTTTCTCGCTAAGACCTCAAAATTTGTGAAATCTGCGGCCTTTGCTATCTGGAATTTGCAAATTTGCCCCTCGGCCGAGTCACACTGGCATCCGGTTTTGGACGAGACGAAGGTTGCAGTGCTCCGAAAATTGAGTATTTTGGTCGCATCCCCCGTTTTGCATCCCGTTTTGCATCCCGTTTTGCAAATTTGCCCCTCGGCAGCTCTCTAATCTTTATCTTTTTTTGTTTACGAATTTTTTATGTTTTGGACGATTTGAATAAAGCTGCCACTCTTTTTCTTCCAGGATTTCCTGGCGTCTCTCTACCCGCCTTCCTCTTGCTTCTTTCTGTCCCTTGGGTGCTATTTTCACGAAACAGTTTCTCTCCTTTTTGAAAAATTGAGGGAAAAAAAAAGGTGTATGTGATTGCCTCCAAAGGTGGGCCACAAATTCCCAACCTCTTATGGCTGGCTCGTCACGCCGCTGGCAATTGCGATGTCCAATTATAATTTTGGTGGTTGATGGGGGGGCACTGTGTGACTGTGAAAGTGTTGCAAATTTTGCCAATTTGCGAAAAAGTCCCTGTGTGAGCATGCCCTCATCCCAATGTCAAGTTTCGGCAGTGTTATTGATTGACATGTTCTCAATTGTTCTGATGCGGTAGTAAACGGACTGACCTTCCGCGGTCGGGCCCTCCTCACAGGCCATTGATGAAAGCCATCAACGGCTTGGGGAAGTGGCACCGACCCCCAAAGGCGATGGCTCGTTTACGGCCCAGCTTGAGAATGATGGCTGGGAAACAAAGAACTGGTGGTTAAAAAAAGGTAGGGAAGAGAAGGCTAATAAATAAGAGGAAGAAACTATCTCGCCCCTGTTACCCCTCGTTTGTCCTTTTTTGCCCTCTTCGCCCTCTCGTTCTTCCCTTAAGAAGGTGCACAGACTTAACACTCTTTCCATTGAAAAGGAAGGGAAGGAAACCCTTTCTTCGCTTAAAAAGGGGCATACACTTAACACTCTTTCCCTTGAAAAGGAAGGGAAGGAAAAACCAGCAAAAAAGAAGGAAGCACTCTTGGCCCTGTTACCTTGTTCGTCGTCTTCTCCTTCCTTACCTTCCTCTTCTCCCTCTTCTCCCTCCTTGTCTTCACTTGAAAAGGGACTGATGGTGGTGGCCTAGCGCAGTTGGTAGAGCACGAAAGTGGCATTCAGGAGGTTGTGGGTTCGATTCCCCCCAGTGCCCAATCGAGCCCCCACACCTCCTGAGGTGCGCTGCGCGTTCACCTGCTGAGATAGTCAGCTTGTCCCTCCTCGTTGGTTGGTGGGGAATGCCACCTGTTGCCAGGGGTTCGGTTCAACCTGGAGGTGATAGGTTCAACCCTGAGGGGTTAGGCTCAACCCATAACCCTTACTGTAGCTCGCCACTGGAGGGTAGATCAAAGGTGTGTATGTAGGTAGTGGGAGGTATATTGAAAGAAGAATATGGCTTAGTTAAAAAAAAAAAAAAAAAAAGACGAAGAAGAAGTTGCACCCCTGTAATCTCATGCATCCTCTTCCGCCCTCCTCTCCCTCTTCTCCCTTCTTATATACTCCCTTAAAAGGAGATGGACACGGAAAGGAAAATTAAAAGGAGATGGACGCGGAAGGGGGAAAAAAGGAAAAGAAGAAAGGGAAATACTCTGCGCTCTGTTACCCCCTGCCTGTCCTCTGTTACCCTCGTCTCCCTTCCTCTAATAAATTGATAATGGCATCCCGGATGTCTCTATTCTGCATGCAGGTCTTCGATGCGCATAAGCTGGCAGATGCAATCTGGAAAAGACCACAAGGGCAGCCGCTGATTACGGTAAGTATGGATTCATTCATTCTGGGAAGTCCCCTGTCTCAGGGTCGTGGCATGGATGTGATTGCTTTTCTTCCCTTTTTCTTTTTGTTGCAATGATGGTTTGAATATAGTGCACAGATTGTTGTTGTTGCTTTCTTGTCTCTTTACCTCTTGCAGATAATCTTTCAGCGCATACTCACACTATCACTTTCCCAAACTATCTCTGACTCCAATTACAGCCAGACGTGCATACATCTGACCGCCACCATCACGTCCACAGCTCAGTCGAAAAAGTTCTAGTGTGAGTATGTTCTGAGTGTCACAAGGCCAGTGTAGCAGATGTATGGTCTCCGATATACAGACAGACTGTACATCCGACTGCCTCTCCCTGGAAGGCATGCACATCTCTTCCATGCCTTTCTCCCCAAAGGCTACTGGTCAACTGTTGTTCTCCAGAGTTCAGAAGAATTGGGTATCTTTAAAAAAAAAAAAAAAAAAAAAAAAAAAGAATTGGGTATCTTGTCATCTAACTAGCTGTATAAAGCCGCTAAAGCCGCTTCCACCGATGATGACGGAGGAGGATGACTGGAGAAGGCCACCTCTTGCCTGGTTCATGATTAGTGCTATCCTGTGTAGCATCATGTTCGGGTTTGGTGACCGAACCTGAACGTTCGCGACCGAACTCGAACGAGCGCCAAAACCCTCTGAACGCGAACATTAAAAAAAAAAAAAAAAAAAAATTCGCAGAAAAATCTGAAAAAATATATGTTTGGAAAAGCTCCAAACATCTTCGGTGTGCTACACAGGTGCTATCATTAATAATGAGAGCATTAGTCTTGTGGAAGGCATGCACATTCTTTCCTTGCGTTCAGAATTCGGGACATTGCCAGCTAGCTTTGAAGCCACTTCCGGAAGATAATGACAAAGGAGGCGGAGGAGGAGGAGGAGGAGGAGAAGGAGGAGGCCGATGTAATCTCTGGCCCGATTCATCATATGTGCTATAAATAACCCTGGAAATCATGCACCGTCTTCTCATGCCCTAGTGGTCAACTGTTCTTGTTCTTTATACTTCAGAATTTGGTATCTTGCCAGCTAGCTGGAAAGACGCTTCCGAGGATGATGATGATGGAGGGGAGGTGGACAAGTTGGAGAGCCTGGTTTATGTTTGTGCTATAGGTGTGGACAATTTTTTTCCATGCCTTCCTCCTAAAAGCTACTGGTCGACTATTGTTCTTGATAGTTCATAATTTGGTATATGCCAGCTAGCCTGCTTCCAGCAATGATGATGATGGAGGAGGAGGAGGAGGAGGAGGAGGAGGAGGAGGAGGATGGAGAACGCAATCTCGTTCCCGGTTCTTGATTTGTTAATGAATGAGAGAGTTATGATAGTGGAACTTGTGTGTGTGGTTGTGTTGTTCATGTGTGCAGGTCTGTAACCATGTGGCGTCTATGGATGACCCGCTTGTTCTTGCGGCACTTGTCCCTCCTGATCTGCTGGTGCATGCTTGGGCAATGAGATGGACTCTCTGCGCGACTGACCGATGTTTTACGAATCCTGTATTTTCAGCCTTCTTTCAATCAGCAAAGGTCTTGCCGATCGTCCGCGGAGCAGGCTTGGAACAGAAGGTGGGTATGAAAGTGAAGCAGTGGTGTCCCCTTGCCGCTCATGTCATCCCTGTCTAATAGCACACATCCAGTTGTTTTCAGTTGTGTTTTTTTTTTTCCCTTTCTCAGTCTGCATAGCATTTTGCTCGACGACGAAAAAAATGATGACCTCACCTCACTGTGCAAGGGATCGCCGTGGGGTATATATATGAATCCAGAATCTCTCTCCAAGTTGACCAGTCAGTCCTTCATCAACTATCGCTGTGGTTTTGCATATTTGACACTATCATGACGATCGAGCGCTAAGCAGCAGGATCCTCTGGTGCTGTTTCTTTGTGCCAAAAGAAAGAATGAACACAGTCGTAAAAATGGCCAGTTGGTCCTTTCATCATACCACAACAGACTTCGCAGCAGGGCAGGTCCCTCTGTTGCTGCTGCTATGTTTTGTGCTAAGAACCTACTGTTGTACCATGGAGCTAAGGGAAGGCACTTTTTTTTTTTTTTTTTTTTTTAACAGGGCCTTATGGTCCTGGCTCCATATCCATTCTGGGGAGCGTCGGTCTGTTTCTTTTCCACTGGCAAGTCATGAAAATCACAACAAGAAGACTACGCACATACGCTTCCTTCCGTCTGACCGAAGGACTCCTGAACAGCACATTGATTACTCCAGTCTGATGGAGGATTGACTGTCAGCTTGCCTTTCTTCTAGAAATCCTCTCAGCTACGGTGTACCACACCTGGCGGCTCGGCTTGCGAAAATCAAGATTTCTAAAGAAAGGGTGGCCAGATCTGGTGTCGTCGTCACTCTTGTTGAAACATGCATCTGCTCTTCAAGTCTTTTTTGGTATCTCTGAGTTCCCTGTATGTTCGGACGCAGCCTCCTGTTTGCATGATCTTCCTGTTACCCCGCCATATGCCCAGATGGGGGTTGGATTGGATCCTCCTGTGCCTGGGTAGTCCGCCGAGCTGTTGATGTGTCGTAATTATGGCAGTCCTTCCATCTTAGGTTGGGCCCATTCAGCCCTGCAAATTTGCCTTCTGCCAACCATACCCTTTTGTCCTTCACTTTTCTTTTTCTTTTCTTTTTTTTCTTTTTTTTTTTGGCGCCGTCCGGGGGACACGAACCCCCGACCACTAGGGGCCAGCCCCTAACCTTATCGCATCCATCTGACTTTGTCAGTATTCCAACTCATGCAGTTACCAGGATGTACCATTCAGCCACAGCCACATGGGCTTGGTTCCCTGCGTCTCTTGCTGTCTGTTGCTGCCGGATGCACCTGGACAGGATTTAGGTGTAGGGGGTTGTCATTCAATAGCTTGCTTCTCCTCCCCCCCCCCCCCCCCTTTCTCCCGTCTTGCCATTCGATCAATCAATGTCATTTGGACAGGATGAGTTCCAGGCAGGATCCAGTCCACAAACCTTAATCCCAGTTTCTGAGTACGATATGGTGATGGAAGGTTAACAGGAATTGATGTCGTCTGTTGACGTTGTTTGGCGGCTTTTCGTGACTGTTGTCATCAACTATAATCAGCATGGAATCAACTTCTGATGACTTTATTGTGTCGATCCTGGTTTACGTTATGTGGTCTATCAGGGGGTGGATGTAGCCATAGGGAAGCTGAACAAAGGGGACTGGGTGCATATATTCCCTGAGGGAAGCCGGTCGCGGGACGGTGGGAGGACGCTTGGCAGCATGAAGCGAGGCATCGGCAGGTATGTGGTTGGCGTCCTTAGCGAGCAAGAATTGGATTGTGATAATGCAACTGGAGTGCGACTGGCCGATAGGAACAACAAGTGAAAGGCGAAAACCTCCATGGAAGTTGATAGAGAGTGCAAAAGATGATGCCCAAGATGATGCCCCAATGTTTCAGGAATAATTACCATGGTTACGCCGCCGGACGACCAGTCCAGACGTCCGTCCGGCTGTCGCTGCACGTACCCCTTTTTGCAGTGCTCATATTGGAAATGACCCAGTGACCTTTCTTGCTCAGGCCGCGGTAAGTGCTCCTGCTGGTGTCGTGCGCATGAGAGGCTACTTGCAGCCCTCTCTCTGGGCATTCTATGAATTTGTGGCATTTCATGCTGTTGCCTGCCAGGATTGAGGTTGCTGCTGTGGCCTGTGTTTTTTTTGTTCTTCTGCATGCTAAGATGGAGGGTCCAGATCCCTTTTTGTGGAACTCTTAGAGACACGTGTGCTGTGGTCGGGACTCCTGCACGCTGCAGGTGTTCCTTTTTTTTCCCTTTTTCCTGGGACAATTGCTTATTGAAAAGTGTTCTATTTGTTCTTGAATTATAATTACTAGTTACTAATTACAGTTCGGAAATTCAAAACAAAGCCAACGTAAGAAATCAGACGAGCAAGGACATGACCATCATTCCATTACACAAGCATAAGAAATTTGGCAGGCAGCAATGTCCTTGCGCACATCCGTTAAAATTGAAACAATAGTGTGATGATTACCATGGCCGTTGAACAAGGATGACACACAAATTGAGAAATGGTCCAAATTAGGAAACAAGAAGTGGGCAGTAATGCTCCTGGGCAAGGTCGTACTGACCTGGATTCTATGATGTATGTCTCATGCCGAATACAGTGAAATGCACCTGCATGCGAGGTGTGCACATAGTAGTCCAATTTGTTGCACTTGCACACCGCACACGTACGCTGCACGTATGATCGGCCATATGATTTGCCGAATGAGAAGATCCTGTAGTACACGAAGCCTGTGACATCTGTCTACGCCGCACCATTCGATGCGGCAACTGCAACTACGAAAATTGGATGCATGCTTCCACACCGTCCACACCTGAACCGGACCCCTGTCCTGTCTGCAGGGGTGACCCCTTACCATAGGCAAAGCCTGCTCCTCGACTCACTTTTTTCTTCTACAACCCAAAACACTGACTGGCCTGTTGTGCAATTCCATAGTAGTCTGCTCTGCCGCAGAGTACTAAGTAGTAAGAACCCTTTGAAGTTCGTCTTTCCTCTCTTTTCTAAGTTTTCTGTCTTCTTGCCCTGATCTCGTACCGTGCAGACTACAAAAGGCATATAAATAATGAAAACATCATAAGTAGAAGATACAAAATATACCCCTCCGCCTTTACTCTGCCTCATTTTCATAGCGTGCCACTAGGCCGTTATGGCACACAGGGATGTGGGCGACTCGTACTCAGCCATATCAACGTGCGAGCCTTGTGAGAAGCACAAGTAAGGCCAGTGAAGACAGAACTGCACAAGGAAAAGGCAATACAACTGTTTTGGCGTGCGTCATGTCGTCTGCTATGGAAGATTCTAAGGTAAAGTTGTTGTTGCAATTTTGGATCTACTCATCTGGTAGAAAAGGGCGATTGCTGTGCTGACAATTTTTTGTGGCACACCCATTCAACGCGCCGTTTATCATGAAATGACTGATAAGGCACACGGTTGGGGGCCTAAAGTTCACCTTTTACCAGATATAAGCCTCCCTATATCTGTGTTTCACTCAGATCATCCGAAATTCGGCAACGGCCATGTCAAGGTTAGTTTGCGCAGCAAAACGAAACATACGAACACAGTGACAATCCGATAATTTGCATGGGCAACTTGATGTGCGAGGAAGTGTCAGTTCGTGGCGCACACACACACACACACACACACACACACACACACACACACACACACACACACACACNCACACACACACACACACACACACACACACACACACACACACACACACACACACACAACCTAGAAAATAAAAAAATGCAGAAAACTTAGAACTGAACAAATGTCAGCAGTCCTTTGGGATGTCTTTGAAAATTTGAACGAGTCCTTGGGGACATCGGTTAAAACATGGAATGATACGGAGAAAGAAGATTAGCATGGCCCCCTGCGCAAGGATGATACACATAAATCGAGGAAAAAAGTTTAAAAAACTGAACAAAAATGAATGGTAGTAGGGTACAAAGAGAAAATTGAGTAATGATCCATTTTTTTTAAAGATATAAAAAAAAGAACAAATCTCAGCAGAAAATCTTGAGACAATCAGACAGAAGCAGAGCAAAACTCGAGGCTTTTTAGACTGAAATCAGCAATCGATTGTGGTTGCGGCAATGCCCATTTTTTGCATGGCGTGTGTTCTGGTGGTTTTACTCTGTGCAGGTTGGTTCTTGACGCTAAAGAGACTCCAATGGTAGTGCCCTTCATACACAAAGGAATGGAGGCGATCATTCCAGTTGGCCAGTCACTTCCAAAAGTGGGGAAAAAGGTAAAAATTAAAAGGTTTACTTTTTTGAAAAATATGCAAAATTGATTTCCCGACCTAGTCCAGCCTGAATGGGATACTGATCATAACCGGACCAACTTGTTTCGATTCCCGGTCGACTCGGATTGAGTAAAGTGTCTCTTGCGTTACCTGGGGCCGAGCAGTTGGATGATGATATCTCGAGGCCGTCGCCCGCTCTTTTGAAATAAACAGAAAGAAAAAGTTGAGTAACTCTGCTCTTGCTCCAAACCTGGATATGTCCGCGCCCCTCCGAGCTGTGGAAAATGTCTGTCTGGATTTGCTTGGTGGGGTTCTCTGTGGATTGTCACTGGCTGGTTGGTTGGTTGGTTGGTTGGTTGGTTGAGTTGTCCGTCCACTTGCTCTGGTTCAATGGTCTGTTTGATTGCTTGAGAAACTAAATTTGGAAGATTGTCCGATCTTCTGCCTTTTTTGAAGGTTTTTTTTTTTTTTTTTTTTTTTTTTTTTTTTTTTAAATTTTTATTTTAAATCTTCTGTATGAACCCAGTCTGGAGGAAACTCGTCAAGTGTCGAAATACAAGATAACTCAGCCCTGATAAATGTCTCCAGTAATCGTGAAATTTGATCTGTGATAAAATGTTTCGTAACCATAGGACAAAGGAGGAGAGGGGGAGAATAGACTTGGAGGATGGAAGCGAAAGTATCCATCAATGTCCCCACGTAGATAGAAACCACCCCTCAATCCCCACTTCTTCTTCGGGTGTTTCCTCTCCTTCACGACAGCAAACAGTGTCCCCCAAACGAGCCTGACAAGATCTGATCACAACGTAGTGCCAGGTAGGCGCAGATTCCCCCTGAAGATGTCTCTGCAGCACGCAATGTCGACAGGATCAACAGGTAAGTCTCCTCTGTCTCACTCACTCAATCCCATCCCGATCTCCCTCCTTGTCGCATCCAAATCTGAAGTGAAGAAAGTGCGGCATCCGCCACGTCAACAGTGTCGAAGACATTGTGGCCAGTGCCACGTCAGCAAGCAAGAAGACAGCTGGTGCCAGACACAGGGAGGCGCCAGCAGGCAAAGCAGCAGTCTCGCTTCGTCGTCGCACAATGCCAGCGTCTTGCCAGCGTCAAGTCAGCATCATGCCCACGTCAAGCAGCAAGGCAAGTCTGAATGTCGACTCCCAGGGCAGGGTCAATAAATAGTGTTGATGAAGTCGACCAGCCTCTCTGGTCTCTCACGTACGGAGGCTCAGATTGACTCGCAGCCGACGGCCTGGATCTCGTACAGTTGCAGACTTCCACCTGGAGCGAATGCTGTCTGGATACCTGTGTACAACCAAGTGTATGCATCTGATCGGCGGCCTGGACTGGGTCCGTGAAGGCTTTGACTCGTGAGCCTCGATATTCCGACCTCCAGTTGACTTCGGTCAACTGTCAGACGCAGGGGCCTCTGAAGCCACGTTTCAGAGGGCCGTTTCGTGGCCGGCGGGTGGCCTCCTCGGCATACGACATAGGCATATTTGAGCGGGTTATTGCACTTCAGTGGTGCTGAAATCTCGACTTGACCCTGGCCCAAAACTTGTTAGCGTTGTCACCCTCTAAAACACGCATTCTTTTCC